ATATTATATTGGAGTGAAGAGATATAGGCTAAGTAAATAATATGTATTTATATATGTCTATATTATTCAAATAGATACTTAATCAATATTGCCCTGCAACAAAAACCCAAAAGCCATTTTTTAATGTTAAAATATTTACATTAAAGGAATGCTTTCTAGAAATTTGTATTTTTTTGAGAAATTTAATAAATAAATAAATATATTCTTCTAACTCTAACTTCTAGTTAACTGATCCAGGCCAATCTACAATCAAAATAATATTGAAAATTAAAATTGATGTAACATGGACACCAGTCATTCCAACATTTACACAAATAATCTAAATTAATTTTTAGAAAGTTTACATTCAGTAATGCCTTAAATCAGGGGTTTTCAACCTTTTTCTTTCTAATACCCCTTGCAAAATTCTTGATCAATTGCATTAGCCATCCTTCCTCCTATAAATCCTTACCATTACCCCCCTTACCTATATATCCTTACCATTACCCCCTTTACCTATAAATCCTTACCATTACCCCCTTACCTATAAATCCTTACCATTTCCCCCTTACCTATAAATCCTTACCATTACCCCCCTTACCTATATATCCTTACCATTACCCCCTTACCTATATATCCTTACAATTACCCCCTTACCTATATATCCTTACCATTACCCCCCTTACCTATAAATCCTTACAATTACCCCCCTTACCTACATATCCTTACCATTACCCCCTTTACCTATAAATCCTTACCATTACCCCCCTTACCTATAAATCATTACAATTACCCCCCTTACCTATATATCCTTACCATTACCCCCTTTACCTATGAATCCTTACCATTATCTCTCCCCCTTTAAATCTTTATTTCTTGATTTTCTCTAAGTTTGTTTTCCCTGCAATAAATTTCATGTCGGACAATATAAAAAAAAATTACCCCCTTAAGGATAATAACCCCCTGGTTGGAAACCCCTGCCTTAATTATTACATGACTGTAGGCTTCTACCTTTCTCTTGACATACAAAATATCAAATCAATTTTAACATCTTTTTCATCTAGCCCTTCCAAAATTGATATATAGAGAATACCACTATTTGACTACTTTAATGAGAAATATTCATTTACTAGGTCAGCTAATATATCTCAAGTTAAGATATCTGACTTCAGATTTTATTTCTGAAAAAGTTCTTCTATAGCCTTATTAGCTAGTAAAGCAAATATTGTGATGACTGTACCCTTTTAAAATGGTACTTTCAATTTGTTTATATAGGCCAAAATCACATGAAACAATACCTTTAATATGATGAATCTATTGTTATATTACATACTGACCACTCCTAGTCAATCAAAATACAAGATATTTCCCAGGCAGGACATTAAGAGTGTATTCCTCTCACACTTCTACTTAAGATCAAGTTAATAAATATTATTGTATACTATTTATTATTAACATATTAAAGAGAGATTCCCCTCCAGGGATTAATAAAAGGCCATCAGTCATGTCTGGTCTTCTAATTATCATATGTAATATGGAAACAAGGTTATTCATTATTATAACATAACAAAAAACCAGACTGCCATTATTAAACAAAACATCAATATCACCAGTCCTTTTTGAGATTTGCCTTATTTCGCCATTTATTTGACATTGTGAACCATTACAGGGAAATGACAGTCACACAATATAAAGGTATTACAAAGTCCATGAAATACCTTGACATCCATAGGCACTTTCCTAGTATCACAGAAGTTTATGATTTGATTGGATCAGTACAGAAATCAGATCCCTCGGCAGCAAGACTGTATATAATATGTGTTGTTAACTCACATTACAATTAACAGAATAAACCGGACTGTATTTATATAAAATTATGTAAGAAAGAGCCCGATGATGCCAAGGTATAAGACAGAGTATGTAATACCTTGACATTGTAAAGATGTCAGAAAACAAAATCACATTGTGCTCCAATTTAATCTGGCAAATTCCCCTTTTTATACTGTGTTGCTTGTTGTATCATCATTTAACTACTAACATATAAAACAGCTTCATAAAGCTACAGCTCTTACAAAAAAACTCTCCAACTTTAATCCACAGTCAGTGTCAAATTATATTTTACCTGATACTTAATGACACCTGTCAGTGTTAAGATCTTTATAATGATGTACATGATTTCCTTATAATAACATGTAGATGAATAATAACTTTCCTTAAACATTACATGATGACAATATATAAATATTATTTTTAATATCAATCATTTAGTTCATGACAATTCCTGATTTATCAAAAAATAACTGGAGCACATTAAATTATCAGGCTTTGTTCTCATATGAAATATATATACAGTTCCAAACATTCAGATAATAGAGCACATCAATAAGCCTACCTCAGAATGTGCTGAGTAAACAAGAAAATGTTCATATTCTATAAATAATCAGTAAGCACCCAATTTCTAAAAAGTTCACAAATTCTTGTTGTTTAAATTTCAATTTGGTATTCAGGGCAAGATTAAATTTGTACACTTTGTGTTAATATGAAGATTGGCAAACTACATGGTAGCCTTTTAAAATATTGAAATCTTCTGTGTACATACATGAACATACAAAAAGCTTAGATAATTATCATAATCAACTGTCATGTATGTTTAATTATTTCTTACAGCTTAATTCCATATTCTTTTGCAAGGTCGTTGAAAATAGTCAAAAGTACGGATTAGATGTCAAACAATAGCCATACAAAAGATAGCTTGCCAGGCAAGGTTAGTTACACCCACTTGCGGCGGTCAGAAAAGATGATACAGTGACTGATTTTTCTCATATTTAAGATATAATGCATTTGCAGTTTGAATTCATTGACATATATTTACTGTTAGTTATTTATACCAAATGGAGTAGTATATGAAATTTTTCCACAATAATTTTTAGAACCAACATCATTAATACATGTACATCAAATTTATAAATCACACTGCTCTATTGTCAAGGGCAATAACTCAAATTTGCTGAGTGAGAAATTGTCAAAATTCAACTAGATCTCATCAATATCAATTAATAGGATGTAAAGCTCTGTTCATTTCATTTCATTTCATTTATCAATATAACCAAAATACCAAATATCATAAAAAAACAGTAGAAAACTGTAGTTTCTATTGTGGTCATGAACAAAAAATAAATATAGGGCAACAACTCAAAATCCATTCATCAAAAAATAATCAAATTTAAACTTGACCAATATATCATCAATATATGAGATCACACCAAAATGTCTTAAAAATCATATAAAAACTGTAGTCTGTATTGTGTTCACTGATATATTTTGATGCATTTTATCTCAGTTAAGGGCAATAACCCCAAAAACTGTTAATTGAAAATTCTTCAAATTCGAACAAGTCTATGATTTCATCATTATACTCACACAAAATTTCATTAAAATCAGATAAATGTAGTCTTTTTTTTGCTCAAGAACAAATTTTGATTCGTTTTGACTTAGACAAGGGCAATAACTCAAAAACCCTTCATATAAAAATCTTCAAATTTCGAACATATCCAAGACCTTATCAATGTATATAAGCACACCAAATTTCATTTTAACCGGATGAAAACTGTACTCTCTGTTGTGCCAAACCAATTTTATCAAGGGCAATAACACCGTTTATCAAAAAGTTTCGTCAAAATTAATGATCATACCCAGTTTCAAAACTGTAGTTTCTATTGTGCTCACAAGAAATGTTGACAAACAGACCGACAAAGCAACAGACTGACAGGGGCAACGGCAATATACTTCCACATGTCTAAGTGGGTGTATAAAAACTTGGTATCAGGTTATGAGGGGAAATAGTTTGCGATATCAGCATCTGCTGGAAGTGAACGCTAACTTATCATCTACCAATCTTATGAGGGGAAAAAAGGCTCACTTTGATTCAAGCTTCAAATATATCTCCAAAAGTTACACTACAAACTCCCCAGAAGGCATGATACCTTGACAAATTACCAATGAGATGGAAATGATTCATTAACAAATTTGGTTTTATGTCATTTTCAATGGAAAAGATTAAACAAGCTGACTCTTTTTCCGATTACGATATAAAAAAATATTTCAAGATTTTAACAGATTTTCTGAAAGAATTTTTATAGTTATGGAATCTTGCTACTTATTTCAATCAAATGGAAGAAACTTGGTGAGGTGGAATAATGAGGAAAGATGACTTATTCACCATCAGACGCTGTCGATTGGAGTTTGAATTCAATATTTCTCAATAATCCTACAGCCACGACAGGTTCATTTCCTTTATTTCAGGCGTTTAATTAATTCTAGAGAGATTTAAGTCTGTGTGGAAAGAATAAAATTTAATTGGTAAAACCTCATACCTCCTGACACATGTTTAGAATATACAATCCATCATATCTTTAATTAACCACAAATCATCTACATATCGTTATCTATTTTCTTCTCTCGGTGGAGAACTTATTTTATATTACCAATAGTGCAATAATTTCTGATTCTCAAAACTACTGAACACACCCACACAGCAACAATTTTGTCACATTTTTTGGTTCAAGGGTTTGACCATCCATACTGGAAATGGGAATTTTTTCAGTTAAGCTAATTAGTAAAAGTGTTCACAGCTCATCTTCAAAATTTGAGCCTTCAAATCCATGTGTGTTCGGAATTATCTGCATTTGAATGTTAAAATAACTTGTCTTTTTTTGAGACTCTACCATATGAAGAAAAGACATATAAAAAAACAGAAAGTGAAATTTCTAGTTTGAGGTATATTTAAAGGGATTATGCCATTATCCTGCAGTTCTGAAGATTATTTACATAAATGCAAGACCCCAATAAATCTCGGAAAACGGCAAACTATTTTTCAACTGTCATGTTTATTAAAGAATTGAAGTCATACAAAACGAAATTTTGTTTAAATGTGATCAAAACTGTAGCTCTATCATAATCACGGCAGAGACAACAATATATATTTTGACCCAAATTTTTTTTTGGTTTCTCAGACACTTTATTTAATAATCATTGTTATCATTTTTCCTGAAAATATAATATCAACCAAATAAAGTTAATATTTAAATAGCATAAATACATTCTTTCATGTTTTAAGAATTTTCCTGTGTTAAAAACTAGAGAAAAAAATAATAATTATAATTGGTAATAAATGAGAACTTGCATCATTCACACCTCAATAGAAGTGTTAATGGGATTTTAATAACATGTCATACTCCATTCCATGTACTGCATTTTTTTGCATTCTTTTACAGGGAATGACTTAAAGAAATTGTCTGTCTTTTCTGAAGAAAAGTGGGTTGAATGTGTTTGTTATAATAATTTGATTTTTAAGTTCTTTTAAGATCTTTTAAGATGTCTGTTCTTGCTCATCTTTCTAGAGAACTTGTCGATTTGACATCATTTCAGAAACTCCAATCAATATTATTTTGGAATGAGATTAAACAAAATGGCCAAAGTACAACAAACTGTGGATATCAAAAATTCTTTGACATCCTTGCGTTAAAATGCATAAACAGGAGGTTAAATCAATACAGTTTCATTCATTGCCAACTTCATGATATTACTTGTTCCCATGAGCTAAGTAAGTACTTCTGATTCATCTAACTGAGCTGACACACAATTAAAAAACATTTTTACTTGAATAACAGTTATCATCAAATCTGATAACCTTTTCATTTTCTATAAATACCCTTTTTTCTTAAATTTAGAATAATGAGAATTCATTTAAAAAAAATAATCGATAAATAGATTGTATAGCTACAGGAACTTATTACTTCAATCTATCATCAATTTACTACAACACACACAGAGTAACATATACCCACATTAATGTTATCATATTTTTGGCTGACAATGTCTAGAAGAACCATTACAGAGCAACAATTCTCATATTTGTCGGTTGATTTGGGTCCTATATATATGTACATAGTTTTCAGAAGTATTAGAAATGTAAGAAAATCCCATAATCAGATGACTATACCAGAAACTAGAAATTTCATTTTCATTTCTATCTTCTCCGGTTTCACCCTACCTTAATATTGTAAATCTTGTCCAAAACATCTATAATAGGAATTAATGTGTGCATGCGCTGCCTAGTAGAAACTTGTGCCAGGTTGTTGAAATTTGAAAAATACATGTACTATTATTTAAGTAATAGATTCTGTTTCCTGACATTTTCCAATAAATTTGAATTAGAAAACTTGATATTTTACATGTAGTACATATAGACATTCACAAATCTTGAAGGTAATCTTAAAGGGATTGTAAATTGATTTTCTAAAAGTTTTATGTGTATTGGTGAAACTGATAGCATCAATTTGCACCATTCCAATTTTCAATCAGACGTCTGTGGTTCCTGCAATTCTAATAAAACTTAGTGTTTGATGACATCACAAATCGCGATTGGCCTCATGTGATAAAACATATTTTGCAATTAGTGACGTCATCAAAAACTTCATTTTAGTGGAATTGCAGGAAAAACAGTCTGATTGAAAATTTGAATGGTCCCCAATACACATAAAAACTTTAAAAAACCTTTTTACAACCCCTTTAAGTAATTGTATCTTCAATAGTTTCTTCAAATAGCGAATTTCATCATTTTGTTACTTTGGTCTTTTAACATTTCAGAGCCAATTTCAGGAATGCTTCCTTTGTTCCCGTGATGTAGTATTCTGTAGAGACCATTATACCCTTAGTATGAAATTAACTCTTGTACATTGATGACAAAATTATTTCCTTCCCAGTTTCTATGTGGGTGTAGAAAAGTAGACAAAATGACCGACATGACTTCCATAGCCCAGATATAATCACTTGTCACTATATATTTCAGATTGTGGCAACTTCAATTAATATGTTGGTAGTCATTTCCTTTCTTCAGCTTCTGGCTATATATAGATTGATTTGACCTTTTTCAAATTATGAACCTATTAATATCCAGACAAATATCGTGCTCTATAAATCTTTATGGAGGGGAAATATCAACCAGACATTTTTGTCAGAATTTAAATATCACCACTTTTTTGTTTGTCATTTTTTGCTTTTTAGAACGTGACTAAAGAATGTAATACTTCCAGGAATACAGGTTTTTCTTCAACATGGCATTGCTCTCAGTTTTTAATATTATCAATTACTATTAGACCTACAGCAATGTCTACTTCATTGTTCTAGCAGTAGGTGGTAATATTCTTCACAAAATACCATTGTTTCAAAAATAAAATAGTGCTTACTACATTTTAGAGTTCTGGGCATCATTGAGTTGGCACAATCCGAAATGCTCTGTATGTAATGTCAATGATTTAACTGGACAGTAGTAGTCTCCCTTAAACGCTGAGGTAAATATGGTCTGTAACACATTGTGTAGATCACAAGGGGTATATCAGGTGACAAATAAAAACATTATACCTTTCATTACATAGTTAAAGTCCACAATGTGGTACTCACAAGAAAGATTTGAATGATAAAACAGCTGTCTTCAAAGAAAAAGAACTGAAGGACAGAATAAGGAAGAAATGTAAAAAAAAACTCCAAAGTAAAGTGTCCTTGGAATTACAATGGCATTCACTTTATTGACAAACAAGTTTTAAAAATGCTGCTTTTTCAAAGGGATTCAAAATATGACGATAATTTTTGAATGTCTGGCATCTCTAAAATTATGAGGTAAGGGGACTATGGTCTTAGCTTTGATTCTTTATGATAAAACTTAAATGAAAAGTTATCATATTTTGAGCTACTAATTATATTTCAAAACAGAATTTTCCAATCACTGCAAATATCAAACAAAAACCTATCTGGTTAGAAACAATCACAACTTGATGTGAAAGATTCAAAGTAATGAAACAAGGACTCATTCGACTACAGGTATAGTTCTGCACTTAAATAAGTCAGAAACATTTGCCTCTATTTCAGCCTCTGATAGCTAATTTGAAAGTTGTCTGGTGGAGAGATAGAAAAACTAGGCATTGTTTTATGGGATATTTCTAAAAATGTAATTTAATATTATGTTAGAAAAATGCATCTTCAGAGGTGTGGAAAATCCCCATAAAACAGGGTCTAGTTTTTCTGATTCTACACCAGCCATTAACTGTCAAAATATCTATCAGAGGCCAGAATTGAGTTTCAAACTACACTTCAATGTAACCAAAAGTATATAACCAAAAATCAAGAGATTCATTGATAAATATATAAGAGATTCACATATTAAGTGATCATTTTGACTGTCAGGTATGAGGATATACTTGTAGACTAAAGTTAGTGGTGGACAGTTCGCCATTCCAAGATGAGTCTTTTCTGAATACCAGGAAACACATGTTATCATTATATCTGTAATACTTGCTAGCCCAAACAACCATTATCATTGATTGTATTTCTCTGTTAACCTCAGTACCACCAATCATAACATAATTCTATTAAAATATGCCTGTACAAAACTCAGGAAACTATTAATAGACAGAAATTAAGGACTTAGAAGTGCAGGTTATATGATTAAGGTACCTAATGAAAAGGGGATAAATTGAAAATATACTTACATTGAGCATTTAAAACAGTTAATATGGTATAGATTTCCTCTTATTGACACATGTTTATCTGTGATAGGAAATCCACATTCAGTACATTTATAGTCTTCAATACTGCTAGAACTACCACAACTTCGTGTTCTTTTAGCCCAGTTCTCACGACTACGTCTAAGTAATGATGGGGAAAAACTTTTCCTCAGTAATGATGGAGTAAATGAACGTCTTAATTTAGGACTTGGGCTGGATGGTGTTGATGGAGGCAGGTTGTCCACTACTGTGACTAAAGCATTGCGTTCAGTAATTGGAGTATTGGGTGGGTTGCGATTTTCAGCATCTGAAATATAAAACACACAATCATTATGTTATATGACTGTCTCCTTACTATTTATACATTGAGGTAAATTAGATATATTATATTAGGAATTTCCTTCTATACTTCCCAAAGCATTTCAAATCAAAATGTGAAATCAAACCATATTCAGGGTGGAACACTAAACACATCATTCCATGTAAGGAGGGACAAATACAAAGCTATAATTTTTTTTGCTTAATTTGTCTGATTTTACATATTATGAAATATATTTCACTTTCTTATGCTTGTAAGTTTTAAAAACAGAATCTTTTAAGTTCCACATTTCCACTCATTTCTGCATTTTATTCATTTCACTTTCCCATAATGGCTGAGAACAATTTTTAAAGAACCACCCTAGTTCATATCCACACTACACTACCATAGAAGGTAATTTTCAGTCAATAACATATTCTGATAGTTAGTAAATCTTCCACATTTCCAATAGTTTTCAAGGAAATTTTACAAAGAAATACTGAAATCTGTTTATATTATTCAATATATGATGTCCAAAATCTTAGATAAGAAAAATACTTATATCCTTGTTAACAGAAAAAAATTATCATTCACAAACAAACAAACAATCTAAGTACCTGCTTTTAACATACAGAACAATGCTTGGTATTTCCTAATTAGAGATTAGTTGATGAAAAGTGTAAAGTTGCTACTCAACAGCACAATTATCACAAAGTACCAGGTGAATCCTATATACTCCTGAGTAAAACATTTTGCAGACACAAACTGAGTAAGGATAACCCCAGTGTATTTCACGTGATTAAACAGACTATGAGGAAACTAAGACTTACAGATTGATTTGAAGAGTAGAAATGGAAACATGTAAATGATCTAATCAAGTTATGGTCACTAACTACTCATACACACTAGAAAAATTATCTTGTTACTCTTCATTGAAAATTCTCATCTTGTCTTACCCCCAAATGACTAATTATCTTAATCATATCTGACGTAAGTTAATTAGATACAGATTAGTGCTAATTACTGAGATATTGATTATGATATTGACCTCTTAACATATAAACAGACTGATAAATCAACATTAATAGACATATCGCTCACTTGGTTATATTATTACTTAATAGTTACCGACCCTGTTGGTTGATATGCAGTAATTGGGTTTAATTATACAATTTCAAAAAATAAAATTGAGGCTTGAACATATCATATATATACAACTATAAACTACATTTAAATGCATGATTATATAACATTATTAAATCACCATTGACCTTAAATGTAGTAATAACCTACTGATTATGTGAAATTTTATCAAAATAGCTTAGATGAGAGACAATTATGATATATCCCAAAATTCAATGGAAGTAATGTGGCTACTATGAAGTAACATGTATTGAATGTGAAATAATGAACACATAAAATAATTTGATATACGTCTGGATTTTCTTTGATATAAAGATAACAGGAGTACGAAAAATACCTCAACAGAACAAAAAAACAAGCTCTTATATTTATCCAAAGATCAAAAATGATACAGAGATCATTGATGCAAAAGCAGAATGTTCAGAATGATCATCTATACTAATAAGCTGTTTAATCGAAGATGACACTTGGTTTGTCCAAAACATATTGGCTTTTCTTGGATCAGAAAATGTTCTCTTCCAGTTATATAAGATCAAATTTCTCAACATTAAATTTATTTCTTTTCTCAAAATCTCTTTATTCACTGTCATTCACATGTGTTTTATGCTAGAACATCCAGACTATTATACTTTAAATTTATGTGTGACACTAATTTTCAATAGTTCAGTTCACATTACCTAATATCTACACTTGAGTCTAATGTTTTTCCCCAATAATCACTAACTGGTACTTTCTTTTTAACTTGAACAATAAAAATCATTAAACCAAGAAATCTATATCCTTATTTCTATTTGTTTTCACCATGTATTTATTGATAATAAAATTCAATAAGGAAATACAGTCATTTGTCAATACTTATTATCCTTATATTGACACCATGTACAAACACATAATCTTTATTCTATAGGGATAATTTTCTATGGTTATCGAATGAGTTGAAATGGTTTTGCTTTGCCAGATGTTTTTTATGCCCTGTCTATATTTTAAATGTAAAATTTCAGTTTCATATTTCTAGACCAGCCGTTTTGCATCTGGTTGAAATTTTGATCATGTGAGAGACCAATTTCAAACAGTAAGATTACTTTACATGGTGATATAACTACTGCAGTAAGAAATGGGAAAGGGGGATATTTTGAAATAAAAAAAAAAGAGGTTGTGGGTATGAATTCTTGATCAAATTCTTATATTAATCTATCTAAATTTCTCCATTCAAATTTTTCAACCACACCCTTCCATTTTTAATGGAATTCAAGGTCACATAGACAAATTGTTAATATGAGGAAATGAATATGAAATGAATTCTTAAATCTTAAATTCAGTACAAAATGGTTATTTACATACGAGGAATCTTATCTTTCCATCTAATCTCCTCTTTTAATCTTACACAGAAGCAGGAATTTTTATTCAAGCAATTTGGACAAAAATTAAGAAAATACTCTAAAGTTAGGAAGACAGGATTACTAGAAAATAGCAAGAAATATTTAATTGGTTAAGGAGATTAAGAGTCAAATCCTTGTTTGCAGTTTAAATTATCTTAAACTTGTCTTATATACGTACTTAAATTTATTAAGAAGGGATTAAATTGTAGACTTATCTTATATTAAAGGTAATACTAAGTCTACATAAACTTTCAATTATTTTCAGAGTTATAAAACTTATATGAAATGTGGATTTTTGGTGTATAAAACCAAAAGTCTTTCAACATTTATATCAGCTGTAATACTGCTTGTTCAATAGTTGATCTGAATTTGAAGTCAGCAATAATGACCCTGATAATAAATAGTTTATGAGCCAATGTTATTTTGTTTAAAATATAAATATTTATGTTTTTCAATAATGATCACCTTTATAACTCTCTATCACTAATGTGTCAAGATTTGATAAAAACAGATGTAAATTGTCAAATTCTGACTCAAGTTTAACCATTCTGCTAATAAGTAAAATATATATAAAATCCACACTTTAAATTACTTTTTTTTACCTTCACTTCTAGTTTCCAAAAGTGATTTTTGGAGTGAGAATCCAGCAGCCAACTGCTCTCACTGGAGCCTACATAAGTTTCTAAGTAACTATCCTGATGAGATTCTGATATCCAAAACATGTTTCAAAACTCTTACATGAACATTAAACATACATTTTATAGCACAATTTTTGCATCTGAATATTACAATGTTGTAGCTGAACTTATTGTGTTGATTTAGAATTGAAGTTTTAGTATCAAATTAGACTTACCCATTTTACCCATAAAAATATAAAAACTCCTGCTAAAAATATATTCTTTTCAATTCCTTTGAGATAACATATCAAGATTTAAAAACAGCAATTAAGAACATGTATTATTGTACTTGATACCAAATGTATTAACGTCTTATTATTTTAGTAATCATGTGTGCCTGGTGTTTTCAGGAAGTGAAATTGTGTCAGTATTTTACTAGTTGATATGGTAACTTCCTAAAATATGATCTCACAACACAAGAATGACGGTCCGACTCTTAGACTCATTGAAATTAGAGTTTCGAACCTATCAAATGTATAAAAATATATTACACCATCAAAAACCTTCATCATATTTCCATCCTTTCATGTGGTTTATTATTTCTGTCTAACATGTTATATTTAAAGCATTCTGCAATCATATGGCCTACATTTTTATTTCATCAAGTTAGCTTATCAAACCTTTACCAAGAACAAGTCACTATAATTGAAAGAAATATGACAAAAAAATGGTTCACCTTATCGTACAGTATGTAAATATTTTAAACTTGGACATTATTAGTTACATTGGTAGCTGTCTGTTTTAGATCTCAAGTTTTCAGAACATTTAAAAATGCATAACCTATATGAAAACATATCATTTTGTCCAGTGTCAAGTGTCACTTTGTGTGAAAAATGCAAGGTAACATAAGCCCACTGGTGGCTGTCAGAAATGATAACAAAGCCTTTAGTGACTAACTTTTATTGATATCTCATCAATTTACTTGGGTGATTACAAACAATCAAACCAAGTATTGTCAAAATCAGTCAAGAATTGTGCCTTCTAAAGTGTTTACGAGCAATTGTGGACAGACCAACATGCGTAACGGCAATATACGACCCCCATTTCATGTGGGCATATAAAAATGAACAAGTTTTCATTAACATACACATTTGTTTCAACTTTGATCAAATTGTATAATTGTAGCCTCTATCATATTTCAAACCAAAACTGTCAATTCAAACTTGATCAATGATATATATACTTGAACACACTCTTTCGTGTCTACAATGTCAATGTAGTGTTTTACAATGTCAAGAGCATTAACTCTAAAACCCTTTATACGAAAATTACCAAATTTAAAATTGACCGAGATCTCATCAATATATTCATTTATATCATATAACTCAAAGACAGTTCATCCAATTATTACCATATTCGAACTTGACCAAGATTTTATAAATATATACATGAATGCCAAGTTCCATCAAGATCAGATAAAAACTGTGTTAGCTTATATCATTTTCAAGTCAAATTTGACACATTTTTACTAAGTCAAGTGCAATAACTCATCATTCACATTATTATTACCCATTGGAATTAAACTTAGATTTCATCAATATATCATGCATACCAAGTTTCATCAAGATACGATAAAAAACAAATTAGACGGATGACGGACAATATTACATTGGCATATAAAAAGCAAAATGTGATGGAATGATTAACATTAACATGTTTGCAATAAAAATTCTATGGTACTGGTACGGTACTCACCAAGCAAGCTGGAGTGACTATGATGTTCATAATCTTGTATAGCAGCTGAATAATTTTTATAATGATTATAGATAGTTAGATCTAGTCTTCTCAACTCTTCTCTATAATAAGATGGATAAGGGTAGGGATATAGGTCTTGAGAATCCACAGGATACAGCCATTGTTCATCCAGATCATCCAGGTAATTAGCATGTTCCTCACCACCTTCATAACTACTCGGCAAAATATAATCAAAACTGTCTATATCTGTAAAGAAATTAATATCAAATAAAACAAAACGAAATTGAATTTTAATAAATAAAATAATAAAATAAAAGGTAAAATGGATCCATTTCACTTTACCCAATTTAAAATTAAACCCCATTAACCAAAAATTAGATGTCAGATTTCTTAAAAAACAGTAAAGTTTGCTTCAAGCAGTAAGTCACGGAACATCGTCAAACTATTTGCTTGCTGGAGGTGGTTGATTATTGAAGTATTTAGTAAATAAAAGAACCTGAGCTAAAGTGTCCTCATGCTTCACAATATCAAGGACACATCTAGAGGCAACCACATTCAATAAGTAGTCAGTAACCAATGCTTCAATTTATTTATGGATATTCAAAGCTACTTGAAACTCCTCTTAATAATTTTCTGAAGTCAGAATGTCATTCTGATTGTTTAAATTGGTCCTCAGCTATTGTTGCCAAAGGAAATTTACATGTCTTCTTTGCATTCCAAGACCTTATTTTCAAATATGTCAAATGTAATCAACTGTTATGAAAAGAAACAAAGTCACAAGACTAATTAAACTAAACATTGTGAGACTATAATCAGACCTGACTGGTAATTACTCAAAATGATCAAATGAACAGCATTGTGCGTAATGGATACGAGAACGACATTTTTATAGACATCTACATAAGGTCAATGTATTAAGCACGAGTACCTCGACACAGTATACCATAACATGACATTGTTCAATGAAACCATGATTAGTATGCTGCCATGACGATGTCAAATTATCTGCTGAATAGATGTTCCCATTTAAAAAAAATTAGCCTTGCTTCTCTGTAGAGACTCAATGAATCTCCAGTTTAAATCAGGCTTAGGATTAATTTGAAAGCCTATATCTTACCATAAACAGGATTCATACTGGTTGCTTCACAACATAAGAGGGTAAAGTAGCCTCTTTTAAAAGGATATATAGGTTGCATGGAGTCAGTAATTCTGAGATAGCACGAGATAAAATAGTTGAACTATTGGCACAATGTTAAATAACAAACATGTATATTACAGCAAACTCTTATCACAGACAAATCTTTCTTTACGACTTAATTCCAGGAATCCAATGGCAGCTTTAATTACATACATTGTGACTGCCAAATCAATTCCAAATTCATAAAAAACAAACAGAAGCTATCATTCGTTAGGAATAAAGTTGAGATGATTATTACCGCATAAATTGACAGCAGATATTTTATAAGTTTTTCAAAATCTTGACACAGCTTTGCATGCTTATGGTACACATGAAATAATTCCACTTTGAATTTGTATCAATTTCATAAAATTTGTAACTAATATTCATATATCAAAAAGAAAGAAATACACAATAAATTTGAGAGTAACCTCACAGCTCATCCAGTATTTGAAACTTTCAAACAAAGAAAAGTGATAACTTCACAACTTCACAACTGTACAATAATTCCAAAAATCACATCTATTCTTTAATTAAAGAACTAGAGGAAATATGAACACTATATAACAATTCAAAGAAAAGAACCACTGCTATTATTGTTAGGATAGAAAGTAGTTTAGTATATAGAAAGATGTGAAGATTATTTAGCTATATGATGAGAGAGCTATTATTAGTTCCAATATATTGGCCTAATTCCTCATTTTACAGTAGCAGACAGAAAGTAAAAGGTGCTAAACATTGAGATATATAGTTATAAAAACAGATAACATTCTTTTCATTTCACTTACTAAAATTACACTTTTCATATTGGCTTAGATTTGATATTGTCTTGAACAAACTATCTTTTCATTTCATATGATAAAGAAATTGTTTACTCCAACTTTGGAATGCTGTTGTGTCCAGTTTGATTCCACATTATCAAAGCCCAATTCTAAAGAGCATTCAAATTCTTGCAAACCACTTTCAATTTGATAAGGACTTTAACAGCACTCTTAATTTTCATTCAGTTTTCATAAAGCTCAAACTTTATCAAATACATATTATTCAAGTTTTTTGACAAAAAAAAACTGGCTGAAACATTTATAATCTATGAGATCACAGGGTTGAACCCTTTTAATATTTTAAGTCTCCACCATCATAAGGTTAAGCAGTAAAACCTCCATACAGAAAGATGTAAGGGGTATGAAACTTGTCATCTACCAGCAAAACCAAACTTTTTAAAAAAAGGTATAGAGATGAAGTGACAGTTACATTTGACAGTAAGATTGTTCTGTACACATGTTAAATAGGTTCACCTTCCTAACTTTGACAGACACTGATTTCAAGGAACAATTTTCAACATTTTCACTGTCACCATTTAATTCAGTTAATGTCTCTTGTATCATTAATTTAAAAATTTAAAAAAAAAAAAAATCTAAGGAATGCTTACTCAATTTTGTTCAGTTTCTTCAACAAAAACAGTCATTAAGCTGAAGCAGACCTTTCTGTGTAAAAAGAGAAAAATAGAGCTTGATGAATGTTCAGAGTGATGAACAAAGCTCACCAATTGATTAAGTATGAAGGAAACAGGGTAAAGATATTTGAGTTGATTGTTAGTATTTGTGACTGCTTAGTGTGTAATCTTGTAAATCATTTAAGTGATACTGAAATGCTTAAAACCTGTACACTATATTACAAAACTAAAAGACAATCAGAATGCTGGTTTCATTCATTCAATATCAAAAAAACTGATAAACATCAACTTGAAAGTCTGTCTATTGACCACCAAATTCAATCAAAGGATATATGATTGTATAAATAGTTACAATATACATGTATATACATTATAAAAGTTTTTCTTCTTTTAATAACTATCATAGCTAAACATCTGTTTACAATTTCACCATTCCGTGCATATTTTAACAGGTAAGTTAATAATTAAAAACAGTATCTGTACATCATTTACCTTTACCAGTTCAACATTATGAAATAAATCAAACATTGGGGCCATGAACTCCTCCTCACCTAGGGGATAATCGATGATAGGATAATCACTACCCATTCACTTTTACAATGAGGAAAGATGACTTATTCAAGGTCACCAACTGAGATTAGAGCCCACGAACACTGATGTTCAACATAACCAAGCACATGACATCACGTAAAGATTCTAGTTCACTAACTAACTATTATAGCTAATAAGTATAACAATGTCTGTTCACTGTTACACCATTCCACTAAATGATTAAAGGGAGATAAACTCTAATTACACTAGCCTTAACAGTCTGCTTGGGATTTTCCTCAGTTTCAATGAACTTGAAGAGACAAAACAGTACAACTGAGCTACGATTATAATATCGCATCAATAGATAATAAAAAGAGACAAATTTTCAATTGTTGGTTTTTCTTGTGTCTCTATTACTAAGAATGTTCTAATATCCAACTGCTTAGCCTACGTCAGTTGGAAGAAGCGGCTCCATCAATTGTAAAGTTAAGATAGTATTAACAAAAAAATATAACATAAAAAAAACAAGCACGAACGATCAGAACTGCATAACGACAGTTTGGCAATACATTGGTAGCTAAAAATGAACTATTCATATGAAGAAGTATAATAAAGAGAAGAAATATCAGGTATTAAGAGGAGAAAACATACCACACCTGGTGTCACGCTGCCCAAAATTATTCTTAACTCAAGATTGTTGAACGCCAACACTATGATACCTAAAACTAACGTATAGTCAGACTCTAGCTGGTTCCACAGGTTGTTGCTGAAGCAAAATTATCATTCTGAATCAGATGATGGATGGCTGATGTAGAGGTCATGGAATGTCAACATCAGACAACCTAGATTCTATCATCCATACTCATTTAACGAAAATACTGAGGGTCAGTGACTATCGGCTAATTTTACATTGTTCATCGGCTCCTGTAACAGTATTTGAACGCTGAGTTATGCAGTTTGATAATCTTATTAGCCACAAAAATTGGTGAAGACCAACTCTATCGTGTCCCAACCACTGTAAAAAGTGGTGGGACCGGTCCCTGTGCTATCTGCGCCCTTGGTGCCGGGGCTCAGATTTTGTACTCAGAACATTAGAAGAATTTTAAGTCCCAGAGAACTCATTTCTGACTAATTTGAGATACCAAAAACGTATAAAAATCTATGATGACTCTACAAATGAATCTGAAGAGAAAAATGAATGAGAAAAATTGACCTTTAAATGATGCATTCTGTAGTTAATCTGAATAAATATGTAGGCCTAACCCATGTTATCAAATCAGAGATCCTCATACGGCGTCCGAATTTCTCATCGTCTTAGTCATGTGACTCAAATTCAGGGGTCACGTATTTGTATTCGCTTTATTATCCATGCTTATTTGAGGTTCTGGTGTTGTTTTGTGGCAGTGCGATGTTAGATCTGATTGGATAAAAGCAATTATTGTATTTACAAATCAATGGTACTCGCCAAGCTGTCTCCTATTTCGGTCCCTCCTAGAAGGAGAAGTAATAGAATGCGAGCTTTTTTCGCGTACGATAGGCCTACGTTCTGGTTCGTGTTTTGTGACTCTGTGATATTTCGCGTTGATGCAAACATTTCGACTTTAACTGTGATACTAATACCCCTCGTCACACCGGACTTTGGCTATTTGATATTTTTTGCCGAAAAAACATATTGCACTCCCGAAGCGCGCCCACCTTGACTTATACGTATTCAAGGCTCTTTGTGACTCTTTTGGGTGGCTATCCCCAGTCTACTACGCCTATTGATGGCGCGCTGTGAGATTTTTAGATTATAGAATATGTAATTGTATAATGAAGTCAAGGTCTTTGAAATTAATTTCCGTGTTGTCGACAAACAACAGCTAGGTACTTACTTAGTCCATGCATTTTTAAAATCTAATCAGCGTCGTTCAATAGAGAATTAATATAATTGTGCTAAAATTGTATAAAAATGAGTTAAATATAGACTTACGTCTTTGTATTGGGAAGAAATTAAAGGTGTTTTAATTATTGCTCTGAAAGACGTTTGTTACTATGGAGGTCAATCGTATTCAGAATTAGATGCTATGTACTTATGTCTAATACATACGACACGACACATCTGTGCAATGTTCAAAGACAAAATAGATAATGCAGTCGAGATAAAAACACGTTCGCTAATGCAATGTAGAAGATACTAAGACGAAGATGTAATGTAACTAGTGCAATGTAAAAGACAATTATGCTTTGTTCAATGTACAATGTCGAAAGTGAAAAGACATTGCACGTATAATTTTAGGTATTGTGTCGGTGGTTTTATGTAATTTAACATTTGCATTATGAATTAGACGTATTATGACATAAGTAAAAGAGGTATTTTGTCTTTGAACATTGCACAGATGTATTGTGTCGTATGTATTAGACACAAGTACATAGAATCTAATTCAGAATACGATTGACCTCCATATTATGTTACAACCTGTTAAATTGGAATCGTCTATTAAAGACGACGTTAAGAAAGAATCCGGGTGTCCCGGCGATCCTTTGCGGAATTTAGAGGGCACTAGTCATTGTGGGTGTCCTAATGTGGGATGGCGGAGAAAACATCTAACGCGATTTTGGTAGGAAAAAATGTCTCTATGTATAGACTTAATATGTTTTCGTGTTTCAGAGTTGTCTAAATTTTTGCTCTGAAAGACATTTGCTATAACCTGTAAAATTGGAATCACCCATTAAATAATTGTCCCAATTTTTCATCAACTTTTTTTCATTTTGAATATTTTTTTTACATGATAGAGCAACTTCAAAAATTAAAAGTAGAGGTATTTTCTTGAAAGCTGAGCGTATATACTTTAATCGTCGTAGTTGTTAATCTGTAAAGAGATTGCCTCAGTGTATTGATTTCTATTTCAAATTTTAATACCAGCTAACGTTGTTTTTTTTTTACCCCTGATTGATGACCTTGGTAGACATATTAACATTTAAATCATGTAAGCAGTACAATGAACTGAAGGTACAATATTTATGCGGATCAATATTTCATGATTGGGTTCGTTTGAAAATAGGTTACTATGGGAAAAAATCATTTACACTGCATAGTTCACGTCACGCACTTCAGGAAAATCACACTATCGTTGGGACAGTCATGTGGGCTGGTTGAAAAGTTCCAAGCATAACTTTGAAACTTCTGTACCATGTCGGTGGTTTTCATTTTTCTTTTTTACAAAACCTCTTCCCAATGTCTAACTATTGCGAACTTCGTCTTATACCTTGACTGCAATAACCACCTTTCTTCCAAAGGGGAAGAATGAAATATTGTCTGTCCAACTATTCCCTGAGAGTTTAATTACGATAAAAATAGTACAAGGGTTAAGTTTTTAAAGCCTCTATTCCACCTTCTAACAACGATTTTGACAGTTATATAGCTATGCTATGGACAGAAACCTATGGAGTCCTCGCTTTTGAAAAAACGAAACTTGAAAAGTGTCTTATTTTCATCATGTATTTTAAATCCACCCATACCCCATTTGCCACATCTCAACTTGAAATCAGTCACGGCATTACAAATCATTACAGATCAGATGTCGCATTTTGAAAAAACGATCGCCAAATATCCTACCAAAATAATTTTTACCTCCTCATATTCATCCCTCGAAT